AGTTCCTGTTGTATCCCCAAGCCATCCACTTCCTTGTTAGAACAGTAGAGGCCAACACTCCTTTTACCTAGAAGCCACTGCAGACACTTGGTATTTTCCATTTTCAGTGCTAGTGTTCAGATGTTTTGCCTATGGGGGTTTCCACAGCACAAGACTTGAGTAGGTGGACATTGGCATCGCTATTGGCTCCTCAGGAACACCAAACCAGCACTCTCCCTGGCAGGCATACCCCTAGGGTCTAGAGCCTGACCTCTGGCAATAGCAAGGGAGTATACTTTACCTCTCTCCAATGGGCCGGATGCTGGAAATTGTCACTTCAGCCTCTTCCTCCCCTTTGTCGACACCCCAGGAGGAGTCCGTTTCCCATCGTGAACTGAAGGCATCTCCCAGTGAGAAGGGGTTATCTTTATACCTATGGATCAAACAGAGGGGGACTCAGCCAGGCTACACCACATGACCTAGAACTAAACCAAAGGCCACAGGGAAGCTCAGGCTTACTTGGGGGGTCCAGATGTAAAGCCTCCAGCATCCTCAAATAAGTCCAACCTGGAGCGGGAAGATTTTGCTGCCAGTGGGGTCTCCTGCTCAATTACTTGCATCTCAGACAGCACCGAGTGCGAGACAGAACTAGGAAAACAAGGCAGAGGATCAAGGTTCTAGTTCCAGAGGGCCCAAAATGGGGCTGAAAACACCCACCCATTACTAGTGCCAATCTGTCTCAACTCAACTTGGAGAAAATGCAGGCTCCGAGAGACAGCAGAGTCTGGAATGGGATGCAGCCAGATATACCCAAGGTCTATAACAAGAGCAGCTGCCACCACAGTAAGACTCAGAGGCTGAAAGGGCCACATCTCAGTTTTCTGGGAGCATCAAAGGCAAACCAGATTCTCCAGATAAAACTTAAGGCTTCATTCCCCTTCAGGGAACAGAGTGGTTCTAGATGCCACTTGCCACATTAGCAACTAAATCAAACACATCAGACACTCATCTGTTAAGATGGCAGCAAGCTAATTCCTACAGAAATCTTAAGCCAAAGCAACACACTCAAGAGTGTACCCCTCACACCCACCCCACCCAGAATCAGGTACCTTCTGGACACCAATCCCATGCCCAGTCTCTCAGCTTGTTCACGTTTCTTTCCTTCCAAGTTCTGAAGTTTCTTCTCCTCCTTCTTTCGATCAAGCTGCAATTCCTGATAGGCCAGTCGCATTGAGGTAACTCTAAAGGAAACAGCTGTTGTGAATCCAACAGTTTGCCTCTCCCAAATGGATAAACTGTGTTTGGGGATGGGGGAAAAAACAAAAAAAAAACCAAAACCCAAACTCTGGCCATGTCTACACTGACAAAGGTCCATTTTTACAACAGTGTGTGCACAGATGTGGCATTAAGCCTATAAGTAAAGAAGATGTGTCATTTCAGCTCAATGTCATACCATCTAGACTAGGATTTACGAGTTAAATGCTTGCTCAAAGAACCTTGCCTGCTTATAAAAACAAACTTATTTCCCTTGGGCAGACACAGCCTTCAAGTTCAAACAAAAGCTCTCCAATCCCAGCCAAGTTTTATGGCAGGCCCTTACATGGCATTAGTAGAACAGACCCAGAACTTACAGAGCAGTAAGAAAATACTACTTCTGCTGACCTAAGGCCCTTTCAGAGACACTAATTCAAGCAACCAAGACAGAGCAGCGTTTATCCTGCTGTAGGGGCTATTCTTGCTTCAGACTACTGCCTCTGTAGGTCAGAGATTTACCTTGCTGCTAGTCCTGCACCCAAAGCTGAGAAGTTTCTAAAAAAAAAAAAAGTCAGCCTCATCATGCCAGTTTCATTGCTGTGGCAAGCAAATACTTGGCCCCTGACAAAAGGTTTCTCCCATGCTTGACACTCACATGGATTCCTCAGCTTGTTTTCCAGACTCCACAGCTTGCTGCTCCCTCAGCTTCTCAGCCACCTGGGCCTGCCGCTCAATCTCAGTAAAGCTCTGGCTGCTTACTTTCTGGGCTCCAAGACCCTTTTTCGCACCCAACTGGGAAAGACCCAGAAACAAAGATAGACAATTCATAGCCATTAGAAACTCAGCGAGTCACTTCCAGACAACAACCCCCACCTCCTCACTGGGCTAGATCAGGTCTTCAGTCTGTCCAATTCTGTGTGCCACAACACAAAGCAAGCAGTACCTGAAGGGGGTACACCAAGGACAGGGAGAGCAACTAGGGAATGAACTTGACTACTGGTGTAGGGAAAGGTGGGACTGGCCCCATGCATGGCGAATCTACCAGCAATGCTCACATAATGCTCTAAGGCTCAAGTACCTTCACCTCTGCAAGGCATTGGGGGAGCAAGAATGGATGGAAAGGAGCGTTGATTCACTCAGGGCAAAGGCAAGGGTTTGGCCAACACTGCTCAGGTTCAGGAGGCAGCCCAAGTAAAGTGCCAGGAGGGAGAAAGCAGGGACACATGAGAAGCGGGGCTCTCCCCATTACACAACAGAAGCCAAGACATACATACCCCTTTCTTGGCAGTTCCTGGCTTCTTCTTGCCAATTAGGGAAGGTTTTAATTCTGCAACAGGGAGAAAGAAAGAAGTGAGGAAAAAGCAAAGAAAAGCCTCAACAAGCTGAAGTTAGTATTTAATAAACCTGGTGGCAGCCCACACAGAGATCCACTACAGCCCAGCCACAACAGAGTCTAGGACATAGCATGCAGTTTTACAGCAACAGCCTGGGTGACTTCACCCAGCCAAAAACAAAGCCCTGAGACCACTCTGAGAAATGAGAAACCCTGAAGCTTTGCAGGTATGGGGGTAGGGAGGGTGTGCTGTCTGAAACAACTCCTTCCTGCAGCTACACCAGGTACTATTTCATGCATTATAGGCAGGGGTGATTCCTATCTGGTCAAGGATGGACAAGTCCAGTCTTTGTCCAGTGACCCCATGGACAGAGCTCCAGCAGCCAGTCCAAAAGAAAAGGCAGCACTAGCGGACATGACAGATAGGGAGGTAGGAGCATCATCCAAAAAGTCAAAAACCCAACCACAGTAGGCTGTAGTGCTGTCTCCCCACAGCCACGGTCACACCTGGAAGGGATATTAGTGCACTGGCTACTTTGGTAGACCCCAAAACCCAGTGGGTGACAGACAAAGCATAATTTCCTTATGCGTTCCACTAGGAATTTGGCCCTTGGGGCAGAAATGGGGAGGTCTTCTCCTGCCCCAAAAGCTGACAGTTGAAGGCAGAGTCACAGAATGGACAGGCAGAGGTTCCACAAGCAGCCAGCGCAGGCTATTTGTTAGCCAGTTACCTCTGGCAGGTGGAGGCCTGTGTGTAGACAGACACATGGACACGTCTGAGGGAGAAAGACACAAAATATGGGGAGTGAAAGGGGTGCTGAAGGATGAGAGCTTCACACTAGAAGCCAAACAGAGTGTGGCAAACTCCAGCCATACAGTACAGCTCCAGATAGAAGACAGTGTGGTGGGATCATCATTCCTACAGGCGATACCTCCCTGAGGAGCTGACTGCATGCCAGGAACAATGAATAAACTTTCCACAAGCCTAGAATTAACATGGCTTGAGTAGTCAAGTTCTGGGTGCCTATTCTAAATTCAAGAAAGGTAACAAGGTGTTGAAAAGATGTGATTTTTGATCTGGTCAGTGAATGGGGCAGTGGGGAAAGGAGTGGTGGTAGAGTAAGAAATTTCACTTACCCACAGGAGCTTTGGGGGATGTGCTTAACAGGTCAATAGACGGGCCTTGGTTAGACTCTAAGGAAAGAAAACCAGCAGTCAGACAATAAAAAAAGCTAGATGTTCTTCTCCCTCTCCCTTTGTCAGTGTGCTCACTGCTCCCTATCCCTTAATGTACAGAGCCCAGACATTTCTCAGAAAGCTACAATATCTCCAGAGTAGCTGACCCATGTTCTCCGTACAGTAAGCTACTTCAAGGAGCATGACAAGAAGCCACCTAAGCCAACATCTTAGATAGAAGTCTGTGAAGCACATTTTTTCCAAGCAAAATCTGTTTCTGGACCTCCTGATTCTCCAGAGTCCCTTTTTCTCCCTTCAGCATGCATTTGGAAACAGGAACTTTGAGGCAATGTTCACCTGCCTCTGTTCTACAAATGCCACTTGCAAAGTAACCTGTTATGATACACTGCAGAGGCTTACTGTGGAGAGGACTATGAGGTCTGCAAGTAAGCAACAGTCAAACAAGACCGTTAAGCCCAAAGTCAAAGTCTAGGTCTCTATACATTTGCTTCAGAGAGAGCAAAGAACAGCACATCCTCTGTAGGTAAGAAGTAGATTGACTTTCCCAAGTGTCTGGATTAGTTTAATCAGTCCTCCTGCACTATGCTGAATGAAGCCTCCACCCACACCCATGGCTTTTTCCAACCCTGTCCAGACAGCTTCTCTGCTGGAAGAGAAGCCAAGTTCTTAACAGAAGTTAGTCAGCTAGGTACTCACGTGACATTGTGCTGGCTTCAGATGGTTTGGCTGCTCTCTCCATCTCCAGTGAGGACTGTGCAGGATTCTGACTGGCCTCTGCAATGTCCCATATACCACAAGGCTTAAAGATAAACATATGCTACAATGAGTGAGTCTCAAGGGTGAATGACCCAGTTTAGGTCCAATCACCCTTCTTCCAACCAAAGCAAGCAGGCATCCTAATGTAATTCAAAAAGCATGAACAGATGAAATGTACTTAAGCTGCACAGATCATAGCTCCTCTGGGGAAATAGAAGATACCAGGGACCAGTCAACAATCTCTTGAGAGTATTTTAACAACATTTGTAACAGCAGGACAATGACCACCCGAATTCCCCTGCTTTACCCATAGCAGATAAGACTGCTATGCCTTGTAAGTTGCATGACAGAGTTGACTATGTAGTTTTAGTAATAGTTTAGGAAAGGATTTGTATGGGAAGATTTGGATAGAGATAAAACTTGCCTCAGGAAGGGGGCTGGATTGGATGACCTCCTTTAGAGTGAAAAGCAAGGACCAAGCATTGGATGCACTGAGGACTGTGCTGTCCATTTCTGAGAGAACAACCTTTATCTGACATCCCAAGAAGGGGGTGAAGAAAGACTCTGAAAGGTCTAACTATCTCAGCTGATGCTCCCCACCCTAGCCCCCAACTCTAATTCTCATTTTATTCCACACCCTAGGAAGAATAATCCCAGACGTGACCCAAATTCAACAAACCTGGGCTCCTCACAGTAGAGCAGGGGGTAGCAACATTTTTGGGCACAGTGCCAAAAACACCTGCAACCTTGCCTTGTAAGATGTTGGCATGCCAAGGGCAGATGGCAGGGGGCCCGCGAGAGGCCCAATCCTTATTGTGGCAGCACAGCCCCAGCCCTAAGGCGCATGTGCCAAGCAAAATGCCCTATCTGATTCTTTTCACCTGTGTGTGCTCCATGAAGAAGTCAGCATCACTCTTTTCAGGAGAATGGCCAGGTGTTCCACTCAACCCATCTATCAGGAGCTGAAAAGAAAAGAAGACATCCCACAGCCATAATAGTGATGCTGCCTTGCCACAAGGTCATCAAATGAGTCAGGGTCATCACTTACATCAGTGCCATACTTGGCCATGGTAGCACTAGCCAGCTGCCTGATCTTCTCTCTGTACATCTGGGCAGCCCGACTGTTATACTTGGCATTGGCATCTGTGGTGGTGCATCCATGTTGGCGGAAGAAGGCAGTCTGAAAAGGAGAGACTCGTCAGTCTGCTGGCAGCCAAGCCACACTGAAATAAACAGAACAGGGCTATAACTACCTAGACAAAAGCAGCAGCAGGGGAAGTAAGGGCTTCCTGGGGCTGGGGAGGGTGGAGAAAAGCTTCTGCCTGGAGAGACACTGTTCAACTCAGCTTTCACTTAGACCTTGCCTGTCCAGGACCCAGAAGCATGAAAGAATGCAACCCACCCTTCCCCAGAGAAGAACAGTTCTGAATCACAAGAGAGAGTTGGGGAAGAACAAGTCCCCTGACCAGTTTCCAATGCCCTGAATTGGGGGGAAAAAAAAATCTCATTTGGGAGGTAAGGAGCACGGCAAGCCTATTTTTCAGGAAGCTGCACTCTCCAGCAAGGTCACCATTCTGACCTCTTGATTTCAGATGAAAAATGAAGAGGCCTTCTCTCCCTTGCAGGCCTCCAAAGGACAAGAGAAGAGAATGGCACCAGCAGCACAATGGTGCAATAGCAGGAAGAGCTGGACAAGCAAGAAGCAGGTGTCTATTACTGAAAGGGGAACCAAATAAATGCCTACAGAGGATCCTCACCGCATTGGTGTTGCTGCCCACTTGCATACACCTCAGCTGGAACCAACTCCAGTTTGAATCCAGCTCTGTAGACCTGCAAAAGAACAAATCAACTACATTAATAAAAATTAATAACAATCAAAAAAGCTTGATATCCTGCTGCTATTCAGTCTCAGTTTGCAGGGGAATTATGGGATATTAACTGTAGCCTTGTTTCCCTGCCTCCCACACCAACAGTAACAAATTAAGAAGAGTTTTAGTGATCAGCATCTCACCAGCTGGCTCGCCACATGGAATAATGTAATGCCCAAATAGAAAGGCTTTCCACTAACACTATACTTTTAACATGTTGTAGCTCAAGCTAGAAGACCCCAGGAAGCATATCCTGTCATTCTGGAACTGGTCTCACCACAGTATGAAAGATGTATCTATTTATCTCATCCTACTGCATTTAAAGTCTTGCAGGGACACTATCTGTGTGAAAGACCTAACTCAAAGGAGCGCTGCATACCGACAGAAACCTTGAAGCCAGCATGAGGAAGAGCCATTTCAAGAGTCATCCCACCCTCCGTTACCAGAAGGTTGCACAAAAAAAAGACAGCAGCTACCACCAGGGCCCCAGCTGGAAGAAAAATCAGAGAACATAGACATGGATCCTACAACGGGGCATGAATCTAGTCACTATATCATACAAGACCTCAATGGCAAAGCATGCAGTGGACATTCACTGAATACCCTGACATGAAGTTGTGCCTGAGAAACACTGTTCACAGTGGTATACGGTATAACAAAAACAGACCAAGAGATTACAGTATAGGCATAGAAATAAAGTAATCCTGTACTCCAGAAATGAAAATAATATATCTGAGGAAAAAATATACTGGAACCAAGTGAGAGAGAGAAGCCTAGCATGGCGATATTTTGAGAAAGTTTTTGCCATGTTCAACTGCAGTTTATGAAGAAATACAAAGGCAAATAGGGAGCCTATGTAATCCTAGAACCCAGATGCCTTGTGTTACAGCACAGAGAGGGAAGTTTCCTTCCATGGCTCTACTGCAACTGCTCCTGGAATATCACCTTCTGTTTGGCACTCAAATGCCAGCATGAACCTGGCAGCATGCCAGAAAACATCAATAAAAGTAACTCAATGGATAAGAAATTCAGGACGCATCTGTATGATACAATGCAGTGCCATCCAGAAACCCCTCAGCTGGCTGCTACCAGAAGCAGTGTAGCCGTCTGTTCAGCTGGGTAGCGTGCCAGGCTAATTAGCCCTGATGAGAAGTAGGTTTTAACAAGCAGGCAAAGCACTAAGCTAATGCAGCCGTACTGTTTCCAGCATCCAACTTAATTTAGAAATCTCCTCCACAAAGCACTGTATTTTGTCATGCAGAAACACCCTGAGTTTTAAGGAAAAATTAAGAGCTAGATCTGCCCAGTGAGATTAAGAGGTTACTAAAAAGCCAGTCTAATTATACAAAGGATGTAAACAGAGCAGCAGAGACATCTTAAATGGGAAAGTTTGGCTTAATAATTATGAATATGCTAGTGCCTACAGAATATGACCTCATTGTACTAAATGAGTTAGGCTAACCTCCTGATGCAGGGGTGGTACCTGCACCAGGAGTGTAAATCATGCTGCATAATAAAATGCTGTACATGTGTGTACAAGGCTCAGGGTTTAACTTTCCCTAAACCACCACTCGTATTCTCTGTACAGCTTCCTGCCTGTCTTCTTTTTGACTGCTCTCTGCACCAGTGCTTTGCTATGTTAACAGGCTCCGATCAGAGAGCCTATGCTTGGCTCTAGCTTCCCTCCTCATTGGTAGCCTGAACAGAAACAACTACAGGTATCCCTCCCCTGAGGCTACTGTGCAAAAAGATTTTGTGTAGCCCTCACATTGCACCTCACACCCATTTCCCTCCAACTCTTACACAGAAAAGTCCAGTCTTCTCCTCTCAGATTACCAAGGTTACGTTGGTGCTTTAAGGTTTTCATTGAGTTTTGTATGAAATGCACCTCAGAAGCTTGTGAAGACTTTTATTTGCATCCAGCAAACTACGTAGGGAACCTGAGTGCTTTTGGGCCTGCTCCTTCCTGCCCGATACAAACCCTTTCTTTAATCCAGAGGTATCAAAGATATGCCCTGTGGGCCAGATCTAGCCTATGGAAGTCAGCTTTTTGCCCCATGGATCTCACACCAACCCCACCTACCATATGTGGCATGTGCTGGCCCTGACCCTATGTGCTACATGGGGTGTGCACAGGCCTATCTGGCCCCATATGCTACATGGGGTGGGTCCATGGCACAGGCCTATTTGTCACCTTTAGTCTGGTGGGTCCGGTCCAGCCCAGCAAGTTTCTTATTGGCCTCCCTCAGACAGGAAAAGGTGCCAACAGATTGCTTAGGATAAATAATTAAAAAAAAAAACAGGGGTGGGAGTGCTGGTCCTAAGTTTAAAATGAGAGTGTCAATGGGGGGATGCCGAGCAGAGTGCACCAGACAGCACCCACTGGCCCTCAAACAAGTCCAAGGAGCCAGCAGAATCCACCTAGTGATACTCTGCTCGGAAACAGGGATGATGAAAGGCGGCCGCCAGGGACCCTACCAGCCAAAGCCTCCTTCCTGGTCAAGCCCATGGCCAAGTTAGCTAAGGCCAGGAAGAGGCTGACCAGGAGGCTTGGGGCACACTGCATGTGGCACCCACGCCCCAGCCATTTGCAACGAGCCCCAGCCGCTGGCACGTACCGCACTAAGTGCATGAGACTGGATCCGCCTCCATGGGCACCGCACGCAACACCCGCCCCACAACATACACGGACGGCTCTGTCACACTGGGCACGAGGCCCAGGGCCGACACAGGCCTCTGCCCAGCACACGCCCCGTGCCACGGGCCCGGCTACACCCAGAGCCGCACACACCTGATGAAGCTGAGGTGCACGCCCAGCGAGCGGTGCGCACCCGAGCAGTCGATGCAGAGGAAGACGCCGTAGGTGACGCTGGCCCAGCTCGGGTTCTTGGCGCCGCAGTCGAAGCAGCACTGGAGGGAGCAGAGCGTTAGGGCGGGTGGGAGGACCCCCGTCCGCGCGCTTGCGCAAACGCGAGCGAACCCTGGGGGCTGGGGTCCCGCACCCTCCCCCAGCCCGGGGTGGGGGGAGGGAGAAGAAGGATGGTCTGGGGCCGCCACAAGGGGCCGCCGGGAGGGGCCGGGTCGCGCTTGTACCTTGTTGGCCGGCGCCGCCCGCAGCCGCTTGAACAGGGTCTGAATCTCCACCTTACTCGGCTCGGCCGCCATGATCTCTCCTTCCCAGGCAACACCGCGGCGACGGGGCGCCGCCAGGCCCAATCCACGCAGGGGGCGGGGCTAACGGACGGCAAGCCGCTCGGGTCAGGCCACAGCGAAGCGCGGCTGCCGGGACACGCGAAGCAGGGAGGCTGCTGCGGGGCCTGCGCGGCGCCATGCCCAAGGCCTGCTCCGCTATCAACTGCCCCAACCGCGACACCCGCGAGAGCCGCGCCCGGGGACTCTCCTTCCATAGGTCCGGCCGTGGGGCGAGCATGCGGGGCTGCTGGCTGGGGGCGGGGCTATCATTCCATGGGGCGGGGCTAAGTACATGGGGCAGGGCTACCATTATGGGGGCGGGGTAACTCCGTGGGG